ACCAGTGATTCCCTACCACCCACAGAGCAAAATTCATACCTCTGAGTGTGGCATCCGAGTCCTCTGGAAAAGAGTCACAGCTTCTTTCTTCTCCTCTTGCATGTCTCTCTTCTGTGCTCACCCTCCAACCTAGACCAGCAGTTCCCCTCAGAGCTATACTTAGAATCACCTGGAGAGGCTCTCACAAACACACATGCTAGCATTCCTTTTCACTCTAATTAAATACGAACCACGAGCTGGCTTCTTTTTTAATTCTCCACCAGATGATTCTCATAGACGGCCAGTGTTTAAATCATAAACCAGCCCATTCTTCCTTAAACTGAAATAGGTGGAAACACTATAAGGATGTTTGTCAAAAATGCACATTTTTGGACCACCCTTGAAGTGCACTAACTCAGACTTTGTAGGGTTAGACACCAGGAATCTATCATTTAACAAACGTGCAGATTCTATAGATTGAGAACTACACTCTAGTTAACTATACCATTGCCATTTTCTTAATGAAGTGTCACATTTCCCAACTCTGTAATATATCCTCTCTTCTTGCTTTATAGCAAGTATAGTATCTTTATACTTCTTGCTTATAGAGTCTGTTCTGTATCTTCCCTAATCCCCATCTCTTCCCTACCCCCCTCCATGTAAATCATATCTTCTTTTATGTTCAACTTAAATACTAGTTCTTCCAGTCAGGTTTAATTACTCCAGCATTTTTTTGTTTTCTGGGTTCGTTATTTATGTCTTTCTTCTCCAGTCCTGTACTAAACATAATTGTGTAGACTTTAAGATCTACTAATAGAAATGATTCTTTCATGTGTAGATATAATATCTGATTTAAAAGAATATCTCCACAGTGTCTGGCACATTTTTCTACCTATAGTAAATATATGCTAAATGTTTGAATTGAATAACAAAGTATTTTTAGCCTGTGTTCTCCTTGATAAATAATTCCCAAGCTCTCCTTGATAAATAATTACCAAACACTTCTCCACGTTTTTGACAACAGAAGCAATGCTGAAGAAGGTAATCTAGTTTCCTTTTTTTAAATACGTCTTCAAATATTTCGTGATTTGATAACATCTTTTTTGCTCTGCTAAATCAAGTTGTTTTTGTTGTTGTTGTTGTTGTTGGCTACTTAATAGTTTAGGCATGTGATCTTAGTGAAAGGTTCTACCCAGGTTGTTAGCCATTTATTTAGAACATGAATTCTCATGCTAATTATTTAGACATACCAAAACACAGAAAATGTTAGTGGCAATGATTTAGAATTTTCTCTGTTTCTCTAGTATCTGAGTACTGGCGAAAGGTTAAAGTGGGATCTGCTATTCCAGAGAGAATAGAAGCAAGTCAGTGCATATCCTCTCATTCTAAAGAAATGAATTCAAGAAACATTCACAAAGCCACTTTCCAGTTCTGTTCCCCTGGGAAGACCATGCCCACTAGAAGCTCTTTCATTAAGCTTTCCAAAAAACCAGAGGCACCCTTTATTCCTCAGTGATTTTAAAGCATTGAACATCATTCACATTGTATATATTCTGTTTTCCCCTGCCTTATAGTCATTCATGGACATCTCAATGCCTCTCACCAGACTCCAAACTCCTAATTTTAGGGAGCAGGTGTTTTCCATGTTTGTGTTTCTTATAATGCCCATGATATTACCTGGCACACCAAATGTGTAGATAAACCTGAGATAAATGAGAGATTAAAGACAGTAAATCAATTTGGTTGAATTATAGGTAATTATTAATTATGAGTTTTCAATTTCATTTATCCAAACCACAAGGTATCCTTCATTTCCAGAAAAATTGTCATGTCATAGAGAAGCAAAGAATGGTCCTGTGAGCATGGATACTGAGAGGGAATAATTTTCCTGCTCTTTAGCCTAGGTAGACAGAATAGGGAGGTTGCTGAAAGCGTGTTTGAATTGTGTGTAAAGCACTTAAGTAGCCCATGCTTTAGTTTTGTCTTCTATAATTATGGGTTAAATTTTCTATCTACCTTATAGGGTTGTAGTGAAGATTGAATTAATTAATATATGTAAAAGCATCTAACGTAGGACACATGGTAAATAATCAATTAGTGATATTTAATCTTTCTAATCCTTTCTTTCTGCCTCACAAAGAAAAGGATCCTGGGAGTCTATTTTTCAGGAACATGTGGTTCCAGAAAATAAAACCAGAGCATAAAGTATATAGTAAATATTAAGATGCATGCTTGACATGAGTTACAAACACATGCTGTATACTTCTGTGAAATGAACTGGATATCAAGAGCAGATAGTAGAATATCTGAAAGAGGACTCTTCAGCATTATCAGTTTCCATTCAGGTTCTGCTACTTGTCAGTTGTTTGAATGTAACTATTTACTCTAACAGATCACTCTGGGAGAACAAACACCAATGTCTTCTTATCCCATTGGATAGACAGAGGAACCCTTCTGTTCGACTTGCCACCTGAAGATAAATAACTGGCCCTTAATCGATGGAACACAAGTACGGTGGCACCTGAGAATTCAAATGCCAAGTGTCCATTAAAAGGAGCTTGCACAATTATCAATTATAATTTCATACAACCGGCACATAAAAAATTGTCCACACTGTGTGTTGTTTTTATTCCTATCTACTCAAAATTCTTGACACTTAAGAGTATGGTTGATGAAAGACAAGAAAACAAGGTAAATTGCCTTTAAATGTGATGTGACAATGAAACTAAATGTGGAAGCAACAACCCAGCAACTAAACATGCATTGAGAAATGGAAAAATACATTGGGAAAATATGGGTCAAACTATTATCTCTGATGGTAAAAATACTGATTCTAAAAGTGTTCAGTTGAACCACATAAAACTGAGAAATGTATAGAATTGCCCTCTCCTACTATTCTGTGGAGGGGAAGTAAACAGGAAACACTTTATAAAAGATGTATCTCCTGAGCTTTAGGAAACAGATGTGTCATAGGGTCTCAGATTTTCATGTTCTTAGCTGAATAGGCAACGTGGGAAAATTCTGAGGGTGGGAGATTCTTATTAAAATCCAAATAAATGGCAAGGACTACAAAGAAATCAACAACCTACGATACATTTCAAAGTAAAAAGTAAAAAGGCTTAGTAACAGAATATAGTTGGGGGATGATCTTTAGGAAGCATGAAGAGATAGAACCAAGGATGTTGGCTAGAAAATGAGAGAAAATTGTAAACTGAGACACATATACAGTTATTTGTAAAGGGAAATATCCAGAAAATAATAGTTAAAATGTTGGTATTTTAAATTTAAAAGGTCAGCGGTACATCCAAGGAGAAGAGTTGTAAACATGATTACAGTTTGGGAGCCTTCTGTACAGAAAAAAAAAAAAAAAAATACTGGGATGGAAATTCCATTTTTTTTTCTTCTTTCTCAACACCAACAAACTTACTGTATCTTCCTTGAACCTTATATTGAGGAGGAGTCCAAGTCCATGGCTGGACTGAGCAGGAAAGGCTCCATGGTCAATCTGCAATGTCGATCTTTAAATTGGGAGGTGAGAATGACATACCTGCCCTCACAAAAGATGGTGCTAACATACTTGGGCAGATGAGCACAGAGCCTCAGCTTCTCCCAGAGCTGAGTGTGAGAGGGAAGCGAGCAAGGCCGCAAACAGAGATTTGGCAAGAAATTCAGGCAGGGTCAGAATCATAGAAACCAAGAGAGGAGAGAAGCCCATAAAGAAGGCTGTGATCAACACAATCACATTCTACAAAGTAGTAGGAATAATGAGGCAGAAAACAAGCCCTGGTCTGAACAATGACAAGTTTCTCATGTGCCTTCGTTAAGACTGTATCATTTCAGGAAGCGATGAAGTGAATGAACCCTGTAAAAAATTAGTCAGTTTGGGGGCATCTGGGTGGCTCAGCCGGTTGAGCGTCCGACTTTGGCTCAGGTCATGATCTCATGGTTCGTGGGTTTGAGCCCCACGCCAGGCTCTGTGCTGACAGCTAGCTCAGAGCCTGGAGCCTGTTTCGGATTCTGTGTCTCCTTCTCTGTCTGATCCTCCCCTGTTCATGCTGTCTCTCTCTCTCTCAGAAATAAATAAAACATTAAAATTAAAAAATTTTTAAAAACTAGTCAGTTTTTATGTACCAAACAATCAAAGAATTATGAAGTCACCTGTTATTACTGTATGTCATTAAAAACGGATCATAAATTTGGATAACACAACTTAGGAGGTTAAAAGTACTCTAAGGTTTACTTTCTAAAAATTGAGGGGCGCCTGGGTGGCTTAGTCGGTTAAGCGTCCGACTTTCGCTTAGGTCATGATCTCGCGGTTCGTGGGTTCGAGCCCCGCATCGGACTCTGTGCTGACTGCCAGCTCAGAGCCTGGAGCCTGTTTCAGTCTGTGACTCCCTCTCTCGCTGACCCTCCCCTGCTCACGCTGTCTCTCTCTCTCTACTAGAAATAAATAAAAACATAAAAAAAAAAAAAGTTTAAAAATTGAATTCAGAGTGTTTTCTAACCTTCTTTTAAAATTATGATTACAGCCCAAATGAATGCAATTTTAAGAAATTGTATTATAAATTTTTATTATAAAAAATAACTTTATACTACATTAAGAAAATCTTCAGAATTTTCTTAAAGCAGTCACCATCATACAGAATCTGACAGGTGCTCTTAATTTGTGTATAAATAGACAGAGTAAGGAGGTTGCTTTAAAGCATACTTGAATTGTGTGCAAGGTATATAACTATTCCACACTTTAGTTTTCTTTTCCAGAAATTGTGGACAAAAAGTGAAAAGAAAAGAAAATGTCTAGGAAGATGTTCAGGTCCAGCATCTCTCTGACTACCAAAGGCACCTGGCTAAGAATATGCCATTTCTAGAAAAGAAGCCCTCATTTCCTCTACTATGATGTTGAGGTGTCTGTTGAGATAACATCATTAAATTAAGAAATGGTACTTGCCAGTGTGCTCTGGCCCTTTAACACCACTGGTGTCATGACTCACTAAAGCACCATAGAAACGAGAATAGAACATATGGGACAGCTGGGAGCACCCAAGACACTGGCAGTTGGAAAAGTGATGGAGGGAAAGTAGGACCTCAGAGGCAGGTAAAAGCAAGAAGAGCTCAAAGAAGGAAAGACATGTTAAGATGACCTGGAGGCAACATAAAGATTTGGAAGAAGAGTAAGTTAAAAGTAACACAAGTTATTATTTGATACCCACAGCAACAACAACAACGAAAAGAAGGATGTTTATTGATCATAAAAAAAAGAATCAAAACTAGTTACTTCAAAAATATACTGTTACTATACAATCAATAGTATTAACTTTTCATATACTGAGTAAAGATAAAGTAAGCCAATTAGGACTTAAGAATTTCCCAAATTTTTAAAAAATTTTACTGTACCAGTTAAATTTATAAAAGAAACTGGGAAATTACCATAAAAATACCACTTTTTAAAATGTGACAAATTGAGGACAATCTATAATTAGCATTACACTTATGAAATGCCATTTTAATGTGATGCCGATGCTTTGGTCAGTGACTGTGAGCAGGTGTGTTCCTGTGTGTACGTGTATGTGTATGTGTGTGTGATTCAAGAATGGGCGCTGACAAAAAATGTACTATAAATTGAAGGAGAAAATAATGCAAACGAAAACGGAGTTTAACTTACTCTAAGTATGTTCTTTCTTCTATCCACTCCATTCCCCAGTGTATTAGAGGGTTTTTCTCTACAATGTGAATGTTAGGTTTTTTTCAATGTAAACTTTTTAAAAAAGATCTCTATAATTTGAATCTTGTTTTAAAATTCTCTTTTATTTCAAAGACGGTATTGTTGATAACACTGGGAAGGGATTTTGCTACATATTAGCATTTGACAAATGGATGAAATTTTATTTGTTTGTTTGTTTGTTTGGGCAGAAGAAATAAAAAAAGAGTTCATCACTGAAGAGGTATCCTGATAATGTCAATGGTGTGATAGGTTACAAACCAGAATCATTTAGAAGAATAAATAGGACCCATCATGTCCTTCTCAGGCCATACCCAAAAGGCCATCAAAAAGACTTTTCCAACGGAAGCTCTTCTAATGCCCCAAGTTCCACGTGGCAATTACTTGCATCTTCAGGAAGAGAAGCAAAGACTACAGCTCAAGAAATTCCTTCTTCATAGGATGTTTCTAGTGGCCAAGATCACAGCAAACATGGAAAAAAAAGATATTGCTGACTACTATGAACAAGTGTTTCAGTCGATTTTGAAACATCACATAGAAGAAGCAGTGACCGGGTTTCTGCTCATCTATCCTACTTCTATTCTGCATATCCTTGAGTCCTCCAGTGGTACCCTTTATCAAATTCTCTTAGATCATCTTGACCAGGAGAAGAATGGTACAGAATTTTTTATCCAAGGGATGAAAATTATAGCTGTGTCCCACAACATCCCAACAAGGCTCTTCATGCAATGGCATGTTTCAGTAATAAAAGTTCCAGTCATGTATCTTGATGACGTCACACAGACACAGTCCCTAGGAGAGGTCATCACCGAGTTTCTCACCCAGACTCATAAACTGGCACTCCACCTTTTAAAGACTGTGAAAGTGGGTGCTAAAGGACCAGGGGACACCTTGCACCAACTTGCACCTGAATTGCTCATCCCAGAACAAATAATAAAGTACTTGTGCAAATCTGAAGAATTCATGAATCCAGAAGCATTCCTAAACATGTATAACAGACCCATACATATCACTTTGGATTCTGAGGTGATCTGGCCTGCTCCTTCCCGTTTCTAGGATTGAGAGACACGTGGTTGGTGCAGTCCAGTCTCTCAAGGAATGGATACTACTTAAGTAAAGGAAAATATGTCTGAGGTAACTCTTCTTTTTAAAAAAGAATGGCCATATGCCATGATATACACAAAGGTAATATATGAATCTTTACAGAGTATGTTGAGCTAAACTTGAAAATTTACATCTATTCTGATAGCAAGTTCAAGACTGTTTTAATAGGTGGAGGGCTTTAATAAGTCAATGATTGCTCAAAAGTTAACATCATTTCAGCGAAATGGCTTAATTTTTTAAAGAAAAGTATAGATGACAAAGGACAATTCAGATTCATATGCTCATTTATTCAACAGTCAATGAGAGGTTGCACCACTCAGAATCAAATTTCAGGAAAAATGACTTTGTTCCTGGAATATAAAATTTGGGGGGAAAACACCATTACTGAGTTGCTTGCAATGTATGTTTAAAGGGTAGTATGTGTAAAAGTAAATATGGTATGATATATGATCATTATTTTCATTCGTAGTATATAGGAAAGCCTTGAAGAATAATTATCGATTCCTGAACTCAGAAAACAAAACCTAAACTTTAAAAACAGTTCCAAAGTTGACATATTCTTAAATGCCTAATCAAGAATATTGAGACCATTACAAGGCTGAACAACAATAACCAAACAAACAAAAAACAAAAACAAACTGAAGAACACACTAGCTTTTTGAAACAAACAGAAAATACATTGTCAGAAGGCACTGCATCATTCGTGCAAAATCATTTTTTGAACACCCTTCATGTGACAGACATTTGCCAGATGTTAGGGATACGGCAGGGTGCACAGAAAGCATGATTCTTGCCTATGTGTAAAACATCTATAAATGATTCCACATAAGATACACAAATGGGTTATTTTTTCCAATTTACTTCCTATAAAGCAGTTAATGATATGTAGTTTCTATATGACCTATTTCAAGTTGCTCTCTTCCTTCCTTCACCCAGGATTAATGCTTTTTGCATTATTTAAAACTTCATAGTTTGTTTAACAATTAACATCAATATCTTGATGACTTCAGTGATACCTATCCAAAACTATTTCAATATCTTATGAAACAGACTTTGGATTTAGTAGAAGATATATGGTTGGATCATTTTGCTTTTTTTTTTTTTTTAAATGTTTTATGTATTTCTAGGAGAGAGAGAGAGAGACAGCGTGAGCAGGGGAGGGTCAGAGAGAGAGGGAGTCACAGACTGAAACAGGCTCCAGGCTCTGAGCTGGCAGTCAGCACAGAGCCCGACGCGGGGCTCGAACCCACGAACCGTGAGATCATGATCTAAGCGAAAGTCGGACGCTTAACCGACTAAGCCACCCAGGCACCCCAAGGATCATTTTGCTTTTATATTATTTATTATTATATTTTCAGCCTCTTCAGAGGAAAAAGAGCAATCTCAAAATACACCTCAAATTTGTCATTTGCAGATAATTTGTCATCACTTGTTCCATATAAGAATCAAAAGTCAGGAAACACTTTCTATTTTTACATTTTCTAATATAGATTTAGCTACAGAATGGCATTTTTCACTGTTAGCCAAACTTGAAGTTCTGTTCATTTAAATTCAGTAACTGAAAGAGTACATTTTAGATAAAATGTGAAGTAATTCTTCTGGTTAAGGAAGATTAATCACTTACAAACATTTTATCAATTTAGTAAATATTAAACACCTAATATTTGTCAGCAGTGTGCTACTTATTCTGAAATGTGAAAAAGACCCAAGCATCGACTCATTGAGACTAAGTGTTCAGCAACAAAATGAGTGAAGGTAAAGGTAAGTGTTCTCCAGGCCAAAAACAAAAAAGAAAGCAAACAGACAAACAAAAACAAAAAAACTACGATAAAAAACTTGGTGAAAGAGAAAGCCGTGGTCTAGGCTTGTGGATGTGAGGAGAGGTTGGGGAGGGCAAGTGAACATATTTATGAGAACAGACAATAAGCAGAAACAGGAAGGAGAAAATGAACCCTAACTGTTCACTGGATCTGGTAGAATTCCTTTAGCAAGGTAAACAAATTATGTTTGTTTGGGAAGAGTATTTTTTTAAGTTAGCTAGTGAATAGAAGTGCAGTTTATAAGTAAAGTTATGTATTTATATATATAAAAATATGGCATATTTTCCAAAAATGGCCATGGCAATATCTTGCATCCCACATGCTCTTCTTACAATGTGACCCTAACATTCCCACATTTCATGGTGGCTTCTAAATTCACCCCTCTTGAAATCAAGCAGACCTTTGTGATTGCCTCGACCAAGAGAGTACAACAGAAGTAGCGATCCCTTATGATCAAGGCTTGGTCATAAAAATGCTATGCACTTTACCACGATCACTTCAATACTCACTCTTAAAACTTAAAAATATGCTGTCAGCATCCCAAGTACTTTCTAAGAGGACATCCCAAGCCGAGGTCCCAGCCAACATCCAATGTCACCACTAGACATTGTGAGTGCATGAACGAAACTTCAGGTGACTCCACACTAGTCTTCCAGTCAACCCTGGATTTCAAGCCAGCCCAACTGACACTGAGTGAAGTAGCAGAGAAGGTGTGTGCCCACTGCACCCTGTGTAAATTGCAGATCTGTGAACAAGATAAATGACTGTTATTGATTTAAGCCACTAAATTTTGGGTGGAATAATTATAACAGGAATTATATTTGGGTGGAATAATTATAACAGGAATAATTACATATGTGTGGGTATAACTTCATATAATTTACTTTTCATTCACCTATGCCACTAATACTTATTAAATATCTACTAGTAAATATTTACTAAAGGACCAAGCACTGTGCTTGTCATTGGATATAAAAGCAGCAGTAAGGTGTGTGTCTTCCACACTGCCTTGCATAGATCTTTTATTGGTTGACAATGCTTTGAGATATGAAAAATATCAAGTGAAAATTAATTTATTAAGCCAAAGAAAAATATTAAAAATCTGAGTCATTTTATGTATGTATGTATTTATTTATTTATTTAATTTCTGAGAGAGAGACAGCGTGAGCAGGGGAGAGTCAGAGAGAGAGGGAGACACAGAATCTGAAGCAGGTTCCAGGCTCTGAGCTAGCTATCAGCACAAAGCCCGACGTGGGGCTCGAAGCCACAAACTGTGAGATCATGACCTGAGCTGAAGTCAGACACTCAACCGACTGAGCCACCCAGGTGCCCCAAATCTGAGTCATTTTAGAGGAAGTTACAGAAAATATCTGTGATAATACTACTAATTTACTCAGTATACTGTTATTTCACATTTAAAAGATTCTTATAGTGTCAGTCATGAAACTAACTAGAAAATAAGCACAAAGCAAGTAAATAAATTAAATTACTTATATACTTATTTATCATTTTTAGTGAGCACACCAGAATGAATTTATTTAAATGTAAGTTACCCATCCTGGCAGTAGCCACGTTAGGAGGTTTTAACTTATTTCAGTTACAATATCACTGCTGAAAACATTTTGTGACTTTTATGACAGATGAATTAAGAAGGCTTATAAATCAAAGGGAGTTTAAATAGTTGAGCTACATCAAGTTTTTTTATTCCTAAATAATATATACTCCGACTTGAGTGGTGACCTTAATATTCAGTCTTCATTCATAAAAACTTTTTTTTAAATATTGCATTCACTCTCAAAGGAAGATCTGCTGTCATGAAACATATTAAAAGAATGTGACACGGTCTCTAAGGGAAACACAAATATGATTTCAGTAACTGTTGCATTATTGGGATTCCTGTATAGCTCACTGATATCATGTCTTTAAAAAGGAAGACACTCATGTACTATATGTTTGGGTATATTTGATAAAATGCAGAAATATTCAGACCTTATAAATGTAATTTAATTTGACCAAGTAAAAAAACGTGACTTATTAAAGCTTCGAAAACTCATAAGGTATTTCTCAAGCCAATGAGAGTTATAGTTTCCCATAAAACTAGAGTACAGAAAGTTAACCCACACAGAAAATGAGTATTTTAATACTGAGTATGTAACATTCAATGTTCTTATAACAATGAACATAGAACATACAACATATAAATATACATATGTATATATATATATATATATATATATTCAGTAAACATGTGACATTTAAACTGGTGTGGCCCATGCCATTCTAATTCTTTTATTTTGATATGGATATCTTTAAAGTAAACGGACAAGCCAATGCTCTTATGTTCGTTTCAGAGTAACCAAGGGCTTTCGGGAAGGTTATAGTTTTCATGAAGGTTAACTAAAATAATGTTATTTGTAAGAAAAAATCCTCCCAGAGTGATTTTAAAATTTTTACTGTCTTCATTTTAATTAAAGAGGCATCTGGATTCCTTCATGGAGAATTATTGCTTGATACAAATAGATTTTTACATTCAGGGACTTTATCGTAACTTTAGCGACACAAAACCACATTTCCATTCAGTTAAATCTATTCTTTAGAATTCCCACAACTTCCACGAGGAAGTAGAAATGAGGCAGCCCATCACCAACTTTGAGATTATTTCATAGTGGAGAAAACGACTTAATATAGAATTAGAGTTCTCCCCCTTGTGGCCAATTATGTAAATTTCCAGATTATCTGCTGACGGGATTTAAGCAATAAACCGCACAAAGTTGTTCAGAGAATATAAAGGGGACCTCCAAAGGCAATTTTCAAATGTCTGCTCCTCTTCTTGTTTGGCAGATAAAGATTCTGAGACCCAAAGACATGAAGCATTTGTACACAGTGAAAGCAAGAATTGATCACACAAGTTTCTTATTTCCACTTCACTAATTTACATAATTAGCTGTGGTCACCGTTAGGGGGGCTGGATTTAATTCTGAGTGGTCTCTTCACTGCTGCACATTACCCTCCTGTGCTCCCCCCCACATACTGCCTTCTCCAGAGGTCCCACTGCATTGCCACAGGTGTCTCCATCTCCATAGGCTCCATAGGCATCCTTCTCTGCCGCCACACTTCCTTTGATCCCCTCCCCCACGTGTACTCCCTGTTGCTAAAAAAGGGACCGCTCTCCACACAGTTGCCAAGTCAGAAACTTGAATGTCATCCTA